ATTCTGGACATTTTCTAAAAAAATAGGTATTTTTAGGACTTTGCTGAATTTTAASAACATGACCTGCCATGGTAACATTACTTATAACAATAAARACTGCWGATAAATAACAAACTCATTCACAYCAGTCTGTTTCAATGCTTGGCGTTTAATCAGTAAAAGCACAGGAAGTCTACAGGAATTAAAGTTGAGCTGAAATCTTTAAAATAAAAATGCAATAAGTAGTAACTTCAGCTCCTGGTTCTGTAACTTCTAACCTCATTTCTTAAGCAGCAGAAAGAAATCAGGATGTAAACAGATCTGCATGAAGCTTCATCTTGTTCAACCACGGAACCAGAACCGGCTTCTCTTCCGGGAGCAGACAGATGGGAGGCGTGCATCACAGTTCAGGTCGTTCCAACACTTCCTGCCTGCAAAAATTAAAAAGTGAAAGTTTGTTAAAACTGCAAATAATAACATTAAAAATAAAAACAAGGTTTCGCAAAGTCAGGGTCAAGTAATTATTTAGAGCCATATAAGTTATTATTTTTTTCAACAGCCGTGTTTCCATCCAATTAATGTGAATTTTGAGTGAATTTTTAAAATGYTGATGAAAGGGGATAAAAAAATAAGAAAATGCACATCAGATATGTTTCCATCAACTGGCTTGGAGCGAATCAACCAGGCTACAAGTTATTGTGTCAGATGTTGACAYTACACAAGGCTGTAGTAAACAGGAAGTAAACTGACAGGGATACATCTCAGGACAATGGAGTACCAGGAACATGTTGCTACTGTCAGGAAAGTTGTAATTATTCTGTAATTTAAACTGTTGGTGATGTTACATGCTGTCTGGAGACGTAGAGAAATGTTAYGGGGATATCCTGGAAGACRMCGACAGCAGGAGGAGGGTCCAGCTGCAGCCACTACTGGACAGGAAGAACAGCTGACGGAGGTAAAGATTCAACAAATGTTTCCATCTCTCCTTTTAACTCGTTTTTCCAGACAATCCACAAACCACCTCAAGCAAGCGTAAAAACTTGCTTTGAGAAACTGAGGACCTTTTTGCAGATTTTGCTGTTTCCATCCAACTTTTCTAATGCGACGCTTCGAAATGGAAACACGGCTACTCTGAAACCATCAAAAATTCACACAATAATGGGAATTAAATTATTTATCAATAAAAAGGACCTGAGTGATTCATTTCCAAGCAACGCTCAGCGTTGTTAAGATTATTAGGCTCATGTGGGCACCAGTTGGTGTATCTCATGCGTCTCCCATCACTCCAGAGCCACACACCCACCTGAACAAACAAACAAACAAACAAAC